TATTTTTTAGTTAGTTTTTGTGTGTGTGTGTGTGTGTCTGTGTGTGTATGTGTGTGTACATTGTGTTATATACTGAATATAATAAGATGTTGAATATAAAAGAATATCCCATCTCTACCTAATATGGAGTAGTTTTTCTTTATTTTTTTTTTATTTTTTATTTATTTATACACCCACTTCCCAGGTAGCATCCTCCCATAGCCTCCCTCCCCCCACTAGAGCCCTTCTACTCTGATATCCCTGCTACTGTTTGCTGTGTTGTCGGCACCGCCAGCCAATCCCCACTACTTGCCCTTCTGGTTAATCTAGTCAGCCTATCTAGAGGTCTTTGTTTTAGGTGGGTCAGCTGTTCCTCTTCTAACAGCAATCAGTTGTCAATACTCCTTTAGATAAGATTAGGGTCTGCTGTTCATTTTCCCAGTTCTGTGCTGGGTTACTATCTGGGAATCCCTTTGGCCACCCTGGCCAACAACTCAAAAGACGGTATCACCTGTCTGGCATTGTTGCTTGTTATATAGCCTTTAGCTATACATATGAACTCTTATGAAATTATATTGGCCCCTTTAATCTTTGGTTATACTTTCCTTTTGGGTGTTTAAGGCCATACAGTTGGACCAGATAAACTGATTTATTTTTACTCTTAAGGTCCTTTGAGGATCTGTTCCTCAGGGGTCACATGGGCTTGGGAGGAGCCCCTGGCACCTTTTACCGGTTCCGCCTATGTGAAGATAAGTCAAAAGTCCTGCTCGACCATGGTTGGCTTCACTTAGAAGCATGGAGGAAATGATTCCTCTGTGTTGACCCTCCTCTTCATAGACTGGACACTGGCTCAAGTCCATCTGGTGGGGTCTCCTTGGCCTCCTTGATCGAGAGGACAGGTGACCCACTACCATTATAGGACATTTTGAGAGATGCTTATAGTCCCCTGGAACTAGTCGACCTAAGAGGGCAAGAAGCAAAAGCTGTCCTTTATGTCCCTCTAACCAAATTATTATAGGCCTCAAAGT